GGTAGTAGCGACGGGCGGTGTGTACAAAGGGCAGGGACGTAATCAACGCGAGCTTATGACTCGCGCTTACTGGGAATTCCTCGTTCATGGGGAACAATTGCAAGCCCCAATCCCTAGCACGAAGGAGGTTCAGCGGGTTACCCGGGCCGCTCGGCCAGGGAGGACACGCTGATTCCTTCAGTGTAGCGCGCGTGCGGCCCAGAACATCTAAGGGCATCACAGACCTGTTATTGCTCAATCTCGTGCGGCTAGAAGCCGCCTGTCCCTCTAAGAAGAATTGTTTGTACGCCGACAGTAAAAACCGCGCACGGCCAACGGGCGAACCCGAGACCGGCGGGCCTTTGGGATGTCGAAATACGCCTATTTAGCAGGCTAGAGTCTCGTTCGTTATCGGAATTAACCAGACAAATCGCTCCACCAACTAAGAACGGCCATGCACCACCACCCACCGAATCAAGAAAGAGCTCTCAATCTGTCAATCCTTCCGGTGTCCGGGCCTGGTGAGGTTTCCCGTGTTGAGTCAAATTAAGCCGCAGGCTCCACTCCTGGTGGTGCCCTTCCGTCAATTCCTTTAAGTTTCAGCTTTGCAACCATACTTCCCCCGGAACCCAAAAGCTTTGGTTTCCCGGAAGCTGCCCGCCGAGTCATCGAAAGAACGTCGGCGGATCGCTAGCTGGCATCGTTTATGGTTAGAACTAGGGCGGTATCTGATCGCCTTCGAACCTCTAACTTTCGTTCTTGATCAATGAAAGCGTTTTTGGCAAATGCTTTCGCTTCTGTCCGTCTTGCGACGATCCAAGAATTTCACCTCTAACGTCGCAATACGAATGCCCCCATCCGTTCCTATTAATCATTACCTCGGGGTTCCGAAAACCAACAAAATAGAACCGAGGTCCTATTCCATTATTCCATGCACACAGTATTCAGGCGAAGTTTTAGCCTGCTTTAAGCACTCTAATTTGTTCAAAGTAAACGTGCCGGCCCACCTCGACACTCAATGAAGAGCACCGCGGCGGGATTGAGTTGGGCCGCCCTCTCGAGCTAAGCCCACCGGCAGGACGTCCCGCGGCACGCCAGTTAACACCGCGAACGATGAACCGGCGGCGCGGGACACAGATTCGACTACGAGCTTTTTAACCGCAACAACTTTAATATACGCTATTGGAGCTGGAATTACCGCGGCTGCTGGCACCAGACTTGCCCTCCAATTGATCCTCGTTAAAGGGTTTAGAGTGTACTCATTCCGATTACGGGGCCTCGGATGAGTCCCGTATCGTTATTTTTCGTCACTACCTCCCCGTGCCGGGAGTGGGTAATTTGCGCGCCTGCTGCCTTCCTTGGATGTGGTAGCCGTTTCTCAGGCTCCCTCTCCGGAATCGAACCCTGATTCCCCGTTACCCGTTACAACCATGGTAGGCGCAGAACCTACCATCGACAGTTGATAAGGCAGACATTTGAAAGATGCGTCGCCGGTGCGAGACCGTGCGATCAGCGTAAAGTTATTCAGAGTCACCAAGTTGTACGATGACGGAGACCGCCACCGATTGGTTTTGATCTAATAAAAGCGCCCCTTCCGTTTCCGGTCGGGGCTCTGTTTGCATGTATTAGCTCTAGAATTACCACAGTTATCCAAGTAAATGTGGGTACGATCTAAGGAACCATAACTGATTTAATGAGCCTTTCGCGGTTTCACCTTAATTCGGCTTGTACTGAGACATGCATGGCTTAATCTTTGAGACAAGCATATGACTACTGGCAGGATCAACCAGGGAACTGCGTTCTCGTTCGGATACTCCGAAACTGAAAACTACACTTTCGTCGAAAGCGCGAGTGCGTGTTCGCGAAACGAACGCGTAGGAACGTAACGCCACGCTTAACTCTCTCTTTCGTTGTTTTATATACGAAAAATATCATACATAACGATACCGGTCGAAAAGTTTCGCGAGGAAACCTCCTGCGCCGGTTTAAAAGTTCAAACATTCTCCTCACTCTTCGCTAGATAGAATGCGACGGTGAGACGTGCCGAATTCTTTACAGAATCTGCACACGTTACGAGTATATTATATATTCTCGCTCGGAATGTAGGGAGTTGACGCAAATTTAATAGCTGTTCGATGCAACGAACGACGAATCGTGAAATTCGAACGTACGCCACCGTTTACAACAATGTAAGGTTGATCGCATAAGGACCGCCGACGATGGAACGTCCGCCGCATCCGCGATCTCGCTGTGCTGGACCGTCTTTCGAGGCAAGCTCGAACCCAATGAAGGAACTCAAGGATTCCATGAAATTCTAGGCGCAAACGCTCCGAGAGCCAAGTCTACTTCGGGTCATTTTCGACGGGTGCGATAACTACATTCTCAAAATTATCAACAAGACACACACACATACAAGGTTCGCTCTTATAATCATTAAAGGCACGACCACCAAAAGTAATCGCAACGTTTCGTTCTAAAAAGGTGAACGTATCGTCGTCTCTTTTTGTCGGGTCGGTCTGAATAACATAATAATGTCGTTGTTGAACATTATTTATTACAGAGAGAAACCAATGCGGTTAGCGTCTGCTATCATTTTTAGAGAATACGTAAAAACGCACAGTCTTAGAGACACCGAAGAACGGCCGGAACGTGCTGCGAAATTCATTTCGTCATAAATCCGAATTCCTTTTAAAAGTATTGGATAAGACTCGCAGACAGTCCGTGGTAACGCGAGCGAGAGGATGCAGTCGTTGGTCGGTATCTCGAGAGAACACCTCACACGCCACAACATCACTCCGCTACCTATAATAGCGCGCTTGACGTCGATCGGAGCCAAACGCTGCGAAGCGGCGACAGTGGTACGCGAGCAGGGGCGCGAGACACACCTCTCCCCGTCCGAGGTGCGCTCTGTCGGTGTGATGGCTCTTCGTAAAGAGCGGTTTGAACATTTTTCCACGGATTTTCGCAAGAAAAAAAATACGGCCGCATTGTGTTACGTAATCGAGGTAAGTTAGAATTTTTATTATAGCGATTTAGTTAATTTTAAAATACGTACCCGGTACGGGACGCCGTACTTCATAAATTCCGAACGCCGTACTTCATAAATTTCAAACGCCGTACTTTATAAACAACCAACGCCGTACTTCATAAACGACGAACGCCGTACATGTACTTTTAAAAAAATTTCCAAGTCCGGAGAAACGCCTTACTTTATAAAAGACGAACGCCGTACATGCACTTTTTAAAAATTTTAAGTACGGAAGAACGCCTTACTTTATAAAAGACGATCGACGTATATATAAAATGTTGTAAAATGAAATTTATTATATATGTCGAAATAACTTTCGAGAAGTTTTTTTTAATAAAAACGAGGGAGAATTGAAATAGCTGTAGCTGATTTTTTAAAACGAATTGTGCCATTCATGTTTTTTAATGCTTCAAACTGAATTTAAGTAACACCATAAATTTCGATTTTTTCAAGAAAACCTAGGGACAGTGGGAATCTCGTTAATCCATTTACGGGCGCCACGAATTAGACAACGAGACATTAGGCTTCACAATTACTGTACTTGCAATCACCGCCGTTAATCCGCGCGTTCCTTAAATTAAAATAAAAACTTTTTGTAAAATCTTCTCAAAATGAAGTCGTCTATTTCTACAATAAATTGAAATAACTAATTAAATTACCTCCTGATAAATGATAAAAACTTAATTTTTGATAACAAATTGTGCCATTTCGCCCTTTATAACTATTTCCGGTGTATTTATTACCGGTTGCCTGTATGTACGCGAAACCGCAAATTCGACAGCGCTAATGAACGCCGTACGTTTATTGTATTGTAGATCGACGACTGTGCTGCGTGTTTGAAAGTCGAAATCGATCGGTGGCGTTATACAGTCACTCGGCACGAACGCCGTACGTTATGAACGGCCAGTGTATTACCGGTTGTATATGAGGCGTGCGAGAAGCTTCGAATTAATCGGTGACGTTAACGGACGCCGTACGTGTCGGTGTGTTGCGGGTTGCAAAACGCGTGTTCGAAAGTCAGTCGAAAGGAATCGGGCGGT